TCACATCTCTGGCTCCTCCCTTGACCCAGTAGTGAGTGATCTGGCAGAAGGCATAGTCACTTGTCAACCCCTTGGCTATGTTGGATCGTCTGACCACAAGGCTGTTTTTACGACACTTAAGATCCCAACAGAACGAGGTGAGGAGTCCACACGCACAACCTGACTATGGGAAAGAGGTAATTGGCCAGCCCTTTGCTCTGAGCTCGCCATCACCGATTGGAATGCTCTTCTCCAAGGGGATGTTGACAACCAAGTGAAAGCCTTCACTGGACACATCCTTAATCTACAACAAGAACACATTCCTCACTGGCAATATGTGACGAAGCCTACAGGTCAGCCTTGGTTTGGCTTTCATTGTAGAGAGGCTGCTACTGCTAAGTACAAAGCATGGCGAAGGTATAAGAGACATCCTACCACCTATAACAGGAACTTGCACAGGCAAACCATGCCACGGGCGGGATTTGAACCCGCGGTCAGAGAGTCTCAAAACTCCATATGCCTACAGGCAAGCCTGTAGGCATATGAGTGACATTCAAAAGTGGGCCATTGCTAAATGGGAGGTGGACACTAAAAGAAAGCTAGCATCAGGTAGGGTAGGCTCCAAAACCTGGTGGTCCCTGGTCAAGGACAGACAAGGTTATCTGCCTGATGAACTCATTCCACCTCTAAATCGACAGGATGGGACCACCTCTACTAGTAGTCAAGAGAAGGCGGACCTCTTTGCTGAACACTTTGCTACCAAAATGCAAGTTCCTGATCCAGCAAGGGACCCTCCTTGGCTAGCTGAAAGAACTGTGTCAAAACTGTCAGTGGTGACAATAAGGCAGGAGGAGGTGCATTTCCTTTTTAAATCGCTTGACCAAGAAAAGGCTGTGGGCCCAGACAAGTTGAGCCCAAGATTGCTGAGAAGATGTGCAGACCAGCTAGCAGCACCTCTAACTCGCATCTTTCAGCACTGCCTAGTACAGTGTAAATGGCCCTCTCTATGGAAAGAGGCAAATGAAGTCCCTGTTCACAAAAAGAAGAGCAGAGCAGAAATCAGCAACTACAGACCAGTGTCACTCCTATCAATCACTGGTAAGATCCTTGAGACAATAATCACAAGACAAATGACAGAGTTTTTTGACTACCACTCACTACTTTGTGATCGTCAATATGGCTTCAGAAAAGGTTACTCTGCTGCTGATCTGTTGTTAAACCTCTCCACTAAGTGGCACCAGTCACTGGATGAATCCAAAGTTAGCTGTGTGGTAGCACTGGACATTGCTGGCGCTTTCGACTGGGTGTGGCACCAGGGCCTCTTAACAAAACTTCAAGCACTGGGAATTGCAGGCTCTACGCTATGTCTCCTCAGTGATTACCTTCATGGTAGATCTCTAAGTGTATTTCTCAATGGAACGGAATCAGCAAGACATCCTATTGGAGCAAGTGTTCCACAAGGAAGCGTGCTGGGACCATTGTTATGGAATGTCTACTTCAATGACCTTCTTCATCTCATCCCAGAATCACATGCATATGCAGACGACTGTACACTGACATACACTTATCCAAGAGAAGAAATGCCAGCTGCTCTAAGCTACATCAATCACCAGCTGAGAGCCATATCAGCTTGGGGAAATAGATGGCAAGTAACATTTGCACCGGAGAAAACGCAAATGATGATTGTCTCTGGGCACCATGATGGTAATGCTGGTGCAGTAGTAAGGATGAATGGGAGGGTGTTGGCACCTGGAGAAGAAGTTGATATCCTTAGGGTGAAATTTGACTCGAAACTAACCATGAAGAACCATGTTGCAAATCTTGCAAACATGGCAGCCAGGAAGCTTACAGCACTTCGCCTTATCTCGCATCTGCTTGACAGTAGGGGCTGCAAGATTCTGTACGAGGCACAAGTACGCTCACACCTTGAGTATGCTCCACTTTCTTGGTTTGCCTGCCCCCCCCCCCTCTCATCTGCGACTGCTTGACAGAGTAGAGAACAGAGCAAGACGTCTCATCTCTCGCCTGGACCCATCCTGGATAGATCTGTCATTTCAGCAGAGCCTTCAACATAGGAGGGATGTGGGTGGCCTTACTGTTATGTACAAGGCCAATATTGTCAAAGTACCACACTTGGATCCACTTCGAGGACAGCGTGAAACCAGCTTTTATGCCACAAGACGGGCAGAAAGCAGCAACTTCACTCTGGCTGTACCCTTCTCCAGAACATCACTCCATCTGAGATCATATATACCCAGGATGACTCGAGTATGGAACACATTCGTACAGCATAAGGTTGTCAACGAGATAAAGTCAGTTGATCAAATGAAAATGCTGGCCCACAGATGGCTCCATCTTCATCCTGTTCCCTACTCGTATGTCTCATAACAATAAAAATACTTTCAAATGAGCTGATGTAGGTAACAGCTCTTAGCTTGCCAATGAAGTTAGGAATCCTTAACCTGTAAATAGCTTGTCAATAAAGCTAGGGATTACTAGTCCCTTGCTCCCGGCATTTTAGTCGCCTCTTACAACACGCATAGCTTACGGAGGAAGAATTCTGTTCCACTTCTCCATGGAGATAACAGGAAATAAACAAGAACAAGAACTAGAAAGAAAACAGAAGAAAACCAAGAGGGGTGTGTATATATATGCTTGTACATGTATGTGTAGTGTGACCTAAGTGTAAGTAGAAGTAGCAAGACATACCTGAAATCTTGCATGTTTATGAGACAGAAAAAAAGGACACCAGCATTCCTACCATCATGTAAAACAATAACAGGCTTTCGTTTTACACTCACTTGGCAGGACGGTAGTACCTCCTTGGGCGGTTGCTGTCTACCAACCTACTACCTAGGATATACATATATATATAAACTAAAATGATGATGATGCATGCTTTGATACCAAGGTACACTAAAACCTTAATTTAAATGACCTACATTGAATGGATTTCAGAAGCAACAGACAATAAATTTCATCAGACAAAGGCCAGATCCAGTGTCTGGTAATCTCTAGATAAGTACAAACAGGAAATGTGTTTGTCTCTGGTGAAGCAGACAGCAAATCAAGCATCCCTCATGTCTTGTGCTGAATGACCCACATGGGTTTAGTACTAAACACGAATTATTAAAGATAAATTTAATCTGGATCCAACAGACCAAGTTCACTGAATTCAGACCTTATCTGGCATGGGCCAGAGTGTCTGCATTCAAAAAATATTTATTCTCATTATTACCCAAGACACAGTTCACCTGGGTTAGTTTGTTGTTCTTCATGTTCACTCACATAGTCATCGTTCAGGTTCAAATTTTCCATAGATTTACAGTAGTCTTTGTTATTTTATTAACATACTAAGTACAGTGCTATTAACAATGGCCTTGAAACTTAAGCGATGGTGCCAAGAGAAGCATGCAGTCTGGTGTGTCAGTGACACTGTATGAGGAGTACGGTGTAGCAAAGCAGTGTCTGATACTTGTAGAGACAAGGACAAACTTACAATGTATGCTCTTAAGTTCAGTGTAGATGATAGCCCTAAAAGTTTCTTAGTTAATCCCAGGAAGCATATGAAACTGGCCCAAGATAAAAATACTTGAAGAATCAGTGGTATGTTCAGCAACATTCTATTGATGTTAGCATTTGTGGCATTGCTCTTTGTTCTACTGCTCAGTCATCTACAGCTTTACTAATAGAGCTTAACAGCTCCTCTATCAATCAAGAAAAATTAAATATCGTTTTTCCAACGCACACAAAAAAATTACTGTACTGTACTTTACTGTCCATGTAGAGTACTATTGTACTTTAACACCTTCATTTGCACAGTACAGTACTGTACTGTTTTACAGGTTACAGTATTCTTAGTATCCAGTAGTCTTAAGATCCAACCCATCAAATCTGCTGAATACAGTCTTTGTCCATGAATGGGAAATATCCAGAAGGTTCTGCAGCTAATAGACCAGGGGTTCCCAACCTGGGGTAAGGGTAGGGGGTAAAGTGAGGTGGCATTTCAGGGGGTGCAACTAATTTTGAGTTCAATTTGTTCACTCACAATACTGCATTTGGTTCAATTTTCAATTCAAAAATTAGAAATTTGACTTCTTCATATTACTTTTGTAAGGGGTGTAACATTAAACAGACATTTCCTAGGGGTGTGGGGCACAGGAAAGGTCGAGAACCCCTCTTCAGCCCTCTGACTAAAACTTTTAGTAACTCCCCACCTCCTCGTAATTTCCACACTCCAAATTCTCTGCATAATATTTACACCACACATTGCCCTTAGACAGGACATCTCCACTGCCTCTAGCCGCCTCCTCGCTGCAGCATTTACAATGCAAGCTTCACACCCATATAAGAGTGTTGGTAACACTATACATTCATACACCCCTTCTTTGCCTCCACAAATAACGTTTCTTGTCTCCACAGATACCTCTACATACCATTCACCTTTTTTTCCTTCATCAATTCTATGGCTAACCTCATCCTTCATAAATCCATCCGCTGACAAGTCAACTCCCAAATATCTGAAAACATTCACTTTTTCTATACTCCCTCTCTCCAATGTGATATCCAATTTTTCTTTATCTAAATCGTTTGATACCCTCATCACCTTGCTCTTATCTATGTTCACTTTCAACTTTCTACCTTTACACACCCTCCCAAACTCATCCACTAATTTTTGCAACTTTTCTTTAGAATCTCCCAAAAGCACAGTATCATCAGCAAAAAGTAACTGTGTCAACTCCCATTTTGTATTTGATTCTCCATAATGTAATCCCACCCCTCTCCCCAACACCCTAGCATTTTCTTCTTTTACAACCCTATCTATAAATATATTAAACCACCACGGTGACACTACACATCCCTGTTTAAGACCTACTTTTACCGGGAAGTAATCTCCCTCTCTCCTACACACCCTAACCTGAGCCTCACTATCCTCATAAAAACTCTTATTCTTAATATTTCACATTCTTTACTTCATTCCCAAAACATTAATTCAACTCATCAAAGTAGTGAACAACAACCTGAATCGTGGCCAAATCCATCCGGTCGTACTGGGAGGTCATGCAAAAGGTTAAGAGAAGCATTGAGTTCTCGTAATTTGGGAGCAGTCCACATCTTGTATGGCAATGATGACAACTTGTTGTTAGACACATCAAGAAGCTGGAGGGTAGGTAGCATGAAGATACCATCTGGTAGAGAATCTAATCTGTTATCCTGCAAATGTAAGTTTTATTATAAAAAGGCTCATTTCTTAGATTTTAATATATTAACTCATTATACGTATATAAAGTAATGAAATGTAACTCAGTGGCTAGCTTGTCTGTCTGGAGTTTCATGACTCTCTGATTGCGGGTTATATCCCTGTCCGTGGTATGGTTTAATGAAATGTAAATGTGTGCTATATTCATAATATTTTAAAGCATAAAAATACATTGTATATTTTGAAATATCTATAACTATTAATTAAAAAATGCTGTACATTGTACATAATACAATACCTGTAAATGAACTTCATCTAGCACCGATACTGGACCAAGGAAAAGATCTTTCTTGGATCCTTTTCTTGGTAATGTTACTGTGCCATCAATAAATTGACCAATGGTTGGAGGTAGTTTCTCTATCTTGTTTTGGGCCGCATTTAATGTCTGGAAATTTTAAAGAATACAACGGCAATAAAAACTGAATCAGAGAAACATCTTTTATCATGCAGAATATCCCACACTTCAAGTCTTAAAAATTAATATAAAGAATTTTAAAAGACCATGTATGTTGTAAAAGGTGACTAAAATGCTGGAAGCAAGGGGCTAGTAACCTCTGCTCTGTATAAATTACTAAATATAAAAAAGAAAAAAACTTTAATTTTTCTTTTTAGGTCACCCTGTCTTGGTGGGAGATGGCTGGTTTGTTAACCCTTGTTATTTTTTCTTATGAAATGATAAGAGAATCTTTTTCTGAAGGTAATAAAACAAAAAGTATGAAATTTTATGGAAAATTGACGAAATTATGCTCTCATGAATTTTGCTGTGTCACCGATATTTAAGCATCAGTGATTTTGCTGACTTTGACAGCCATTTTAGGCCAATTACATTATTCCAGTTGACCAAATTCATAACTATTTTGCTAGTATTACTTCTATTTTATCGACTGAGCACAAGAAATCACCCAGTAGCTGTTTCAACTACCCAATAAAGTGATTGGAAATTGGTAATTCGGCCAATTTAACACAGTTTAAAATATTCCAATTTCAAAACAGTGTCCAGAATAAACAATGCAGGCATTCGTGGCACTAAACTAACATTTCCTCTGTTTATTAGCTATTTTTCCAGGCTTTATAAATGAATTCTATTTTGAATTTTTATTCACATACTGAATTTTTATTTACACCAAAAAATAGAATATTTACCTTTATGCAATATTGTAATAATTGTATTAATAATATCAGCACATTTGTGAATGTATATTAGACCCACCAGCTGGCATGTATTAGACACATGATGTCATTTGTCGACTCTAAAACATCAGCAAAAATTGAACGTTTCCACTACTTTGAGCTCAGTTTCAAGCCATTTTCAGTACTAAAACTAATCAAGAGGATCCTATTTCTGTAATATACCTTCCATTCTATCAAATGAAACCAAGAAATCACGAATATAACTGTAAAAACATGAAAAAACACAGCAAAGTCGCTGTTTTAATCCAAAAATACTGTCGCAGTTTTTTTTCATTATGCACTGAATGCTGCAGTATTTATTTTATGTGGTGCACACTTACCACAGATGTATTATCTCATATCTAGGCCCAAATTTACTGCTTACAGCTTATCTGAGTGAGCTGAGCTCAAGCAGTAGTTCTATGGCTTGGACCCAGGCTTCAAAGCCGTAGAACTACGGGACAGACCCTCAAAGGGTTAAAAAGAAATTACAATAAGACACAGTAGGTAATAAATTACCTCTCCCATTTAAAAAAAAAATGTAGAGAGAAAGCAAAAACTATTCAACCTGTCTCTGAAAAAGCAGACAAAAAAAATGAGAAATTTTATTATGAAATACAAAATACTTGAGGGCAGAGACACAGTAAACAAAATAAAGATAAAGAACATTAGGGTACTGCCATAAATAACACCCAAATGAGTCAAAAGGTTATTAACCCTTTGACTGTCGCGGCCGTATATATACGTTTGTGAGGTACCGTGTTTGACGTATATATACTCATAAATTCTAGCGGCTTCAAATCAGGCAGGAGAAAGCTAGTAGGCCCACATGTGAGAGAATGGGTCTGTGTGGTCAGTGTGCACCACATAAAAAAAATCCTGGAGCACGCAGTGCATAATGAGAAAAAAAAAACTCCGACCGTTTTTTTTAATTAAAATGCCGACTTTGTGGTCTATTTTCGTATAGTATTTGTGGTTGTATTCTCGTTTTCATGGTCTCATTTGATAGAATGGAAACTATATTATAGAAATGGAGATGATTTTGATTAATTTTACTATAAAAAGAACCTGGAAATGGAGCACAAAGTACAGGAAATGTTTGATTTTTGCCGATGTTCAAAAGTAAACAAATGATGTCATTGTCCAATAAATGTCCAAATAGCCATTCTAATACGCAGTCATGAATGGGTTGATGTAATTTTTACAATTATTACAGTATTGCAGTAGTCTGCATAACAGTAATCTTCTATTTTTTGTTTGAATAAAATTTCAAAATAAAAAGCAGAGTAATATCACAGGGACCTGGAGACATGACTGATGAACAAAGAAAATCTTATTTTAGAGCCAGGAATGTCTGCATTGTTCATTCTGGACCTTATTTTGAAATTGTCGTATTTTTTAATTTTCGTGAAATTGGCCAAATTGCAAATTTCTGACCATGTTATTGGGTAGTTGAAATCGGTAAATGGCAGTTTCTTGTGCTCAATCGATAGAAAAAATAGAGTTCTGAAGAAATAGTTATGAGTTTGGTTGACTGGAATAACGGAATTAGCCGAAAATAGGGCTCAAAGTGGGCGAAATTGCCGATTTTTAAATATCGCCGAAGTCGCTAACTTCGCGAGAGCGTAATTCCGTCAGTTTTCCATCAAATTTCGTTTTTTTGGTGTCTTTACAATCGGGAAAAGATTCTCTATCATTTCATAAGAAAAAATAATTTTTTTTTTTTTCGAATATTTTGCGACACCAGGAGCAACTTCAGGATTGGGCCCTTCGACAGTCAAAGGGTTAAAAAAAAAAAAAGACGACTAATCATAAGGGTGGTAAAGTAGTGTATTTAACTGTACAATACACTTTTTCAAAAACAGATGACAAAGCTATTTCATATTAATCAGTCAAAAGTTAAAAATTAATTACTAACAGTTATGAAGTGACACCCTACAATCTCAGAAAGGCTGTAGGGTGTCACATAACTGTGTTATATCCAATTTTTCTTTATCTAAATTGTTTTATACCTTCATCACCTTACTCTTATGTTCACTTTCAACTTTCTACCTTTACACACCCTCCCCAAAATCGTCCACTAACTTTTGCAACTTTTCTTTAGAATCCCCCAAAAGCACAGTATCATCAGCAAAACGTAACTGTGTCAACTCCCATTCTGTATTTGAATCCCCTAATTTAATCCCACCCCGCTCCCAAACACCCTGCATTTACTTCTTTTACAACCCCATCTATAAATATGTTAAACAACCATAGTGGCATTACACATTCCTGTCTAAGATCTACTTTTACTGGGAAGTGATCTCCCTCTCTCCTACACACCCTAACCCGAGCCTCACTATCCTCAAAAAATTCTTTATAGCATTTAGTAACTTATTACCTACTCCATACACTTGCAATACCTGCCACACTGGTCCCCTATCCACTACCATATGCCTTTTCTAAATCCATAAATGAAATGAAAACTTCCCTACCTTTATCTAAATACTGTTCACATATATGCTTCAATGTAAACACTTCATATGTACCTCCCCTACTCATTCTAAAACATCCTCGCTCATCTGCACTCCTGCTGTGTTACCTCTAATTTTCAATAACCCTACCATACACTTTACCTGGTATACTCAGTAAACTTATTCCCCTATGATATTTACAATCTCTTTTGTCCCCCTTTCCTTTATATAAAGGAATTATGCACTCTCTCTGACAATCCCTGGGTACCTTCCCCTCTTTCATACATTTATTAAACAAAAATGCCAACCACTCCAACACTATCTCCCCCCGTTTTAACATTTCCAATACACATGTTTCATATTGTAAGATCAACTTAATTTCATTCAGAATATATATAAAATTATTACAAAAGCAAGACTAGATTCTTCATACCTTCAGACTAGGAAGTTGGAAGATCATGTCAGGTAGCTCAGTTAAAGAATTGTTAGAAATGTCCAAGCGTGTGATTGCATACAGTGCAATGACTTGATTACGTGGACTTAGCTTCAGCTTCGGATTGAGGTTCACTGAAGCATCCACTAACCACTGGTCCTGTAACATACATTCATTTAAGTCACAAAGTTACCTGAAATACAGTATAGTATATTAGAGCATAGTAATTCATGTTTTTAAGGACATTCTAGTAAATAAGTAAGTTTATTCAGGTATACACAAATACAGTTACACAGAATTACATGTATCATACATAGCAGCATATGTGTAGAGAACCTAGGATAACCCAAAAAAGCCAGACGGAGTGACTTATTTCCATTGGGGTCCTTTAATTTCCATTGAATTTAATACCTGTAACATAATTATACAGTGGTACCTTGACTTACATTAGTTTAATGTGTTCTGTGACCCAGCTCATAACTCAATTTGCTCGTACATCAAATCAGTTTTTCTGAAACTAACTGAACTGCCATTAATCCATTCCAGCGGAATTCCTGGCTCTCGGGAGGCAGGAGAAAATATTAAATATAATGCTATATCAACGCTACAGCTTATTTATCTATCACAATTGATCTAATATGACATAATAAATAATATAAACAACATAGAAACATGATATATACTCTATAATGAATAAAATATATCATTATGTGATGAGTGGTGGCGGCCACTCCCAACGTAAAAGTAATTATTGTTCTGACCATATCTTCCCATTCTTGCCCTTCTGAGGTCTTATTATAAGAGAAAATGGAGTGTTTGTGAGGTTAACTACACTAGATCACTAGTTTCACGAGGAAAACAGTGAAACAAAACGATTTTCTCAGAATCTTTTTTTTTCCCTGAGTTAGGAGAACGGCCTACATTTTGAGTGAATATCTCGAAAGTAAATCAGTGTAAATGCATGAAGTACTACACTTGTACTGCCTCACCAAGTCAACTACACGCACACCTTGCTCGTGTTTTTTTACGATTTCATGCCTTAATTCAATGGGCATCATCCTCCTCTTCTCAGCACTGTCCTCTGCACTTACTTTCTTAGGACCTATGGTTAGAAAAAAGAAATTTGGCAAAATAACTGCACAAAAAGCAGAACACAAGAGAGATGCTTCCATGGCAAGGTAACCACGTGCACTCTTGTGGCGTTCGCTGCGCCAAATAGTGGCAGCTAATCTAAAGCTCACTCGTAACTCGGATTTTGGCTTGCAATTCAAAGCAAAAAATCGACCGAATGACAGCTTGTAACTCAGAAAACTCGTAAGTTGGGGCATACATAAGTCAAGGTACCACTGTAACTTTTAATTACTGTATACCATACATTACTGCAATACGTACAGTGGTACCTTGGGATACGAACAGCTTAAAACACGAACAATTATGCAAGTGTATTTATGCAAGTGTATTTATGCAAATGTATTTATGCACGTGTATTTATGTAAGTGCTTTTGTAAGTGCATTTTTGGGGTCTGAAACAAATTAATATAATTTACATTATTCCTTATGGGAACAAATTTGTTCAGTATCGGCACTCGAACAGCCTTCTGGAACAAAATAAGTTTGTATCCCAAGGTACCACTGTACCTTGGAATGACATTCTCCTCAAACTCTTAATTTCAGATTTTGATACATTTTAAAAGAATAATTTTCACTGTAGAGTGTATTATCTGTCTCATTATTTAGTAATACAGTGGACCCTCGCCTAACGATATTAATCCGTTCCTGAGAGCTCATCGTTAGCCAAAATTATCGTTAGCCGAGTTAATTGTCCCCATAAGAAATAATGGAAATCCAATTAATCCGATCCAGACAGCCAAAAGTATTAAAAAAAAAATTTTTTTTCATGAAATATACATTTCCCTACAAAGAAAACAATAAGACATGCACAATAACTACATAAATAAATGTTAAAATGACACTTACCTTCATTGAAGAGTATTGATGAGTGATGAGACACTGTTTTTCTTGAACACTGGGATTTTCAGAGTGATACATGAGTAAAGGCTTCACTTTGCAATCCCCACTAGCATTACAACAAAGCATGAGAGTTAGCCTGTCTTTCACAGGCATGTGTCCTAGGAGTGCATTTTCCTCCTGAGTAATGTAGGTCCTGTTTGGCATTTTCTTCCAGAACAGGCCTGTTTCATCACAATTGAACACTTGTTGGGGGATGAGTTTTTCAGCTTTACCATGCCTTATTGCACTGTGTATGCCACTAGAATTCCTAAATCTCTCAAACCAACCTCTGCTGGCCTTAAATTCACCAATATGAGCACTAGTTCCAGGCATTTTTCCTGTTCACCTGGGTGTAGTTGACTGTTGTGGGTCGCATCCTGGGGGACAAGATTAAGGGCCCCAATGGAAATAAGTTACAGTCCTCGATGATGCACTGGCTTTCCTGGGTTATCCTGGGTGGCTAACCCTGTGGGGTTAATCGTTTCTCGGTAATTGTTTCACGTTAAGCCACACCAACAACACTCTCTCCACATCTTTGAGTAGTGCAGCTGACTGTGGTGGAGCAACAGCCGACTGTGGTGCAGCAACAGCTGACTGTGGTGCAGCAACAGCTGACGGTGGTGCAGCAACAGCTAACGGTGGTGCAGCAACAGCTAACGGTGGTGCAGCAACAGCTGACTGTGGTGCAGCAACAGCTGACTGTGGTGCAGCAACAGCTGACAGTGGTGCAGCAACAGCTGACGGTGGTGCAGCAACAGCTGATGGTGGTGCAGCAACAGCTGACTGATCCAGCAACAGCTGACTGTGGTGCAGCAACAGCTGACTGATGCAGCAACAGCTGACTGGCCCAGCAACAGCTGACCGTGGTGAAGCAACAGCTGAATGGTCCAGCAACAGCTGACGGTGGTGCAGCAGCAGCAGCAGCAGCAGCAGCTGACGGTGGTGCAGCCGCAGCAGCAGCTGACTGTGGTACGATAGTATTTCTCAAACTTTTTACCACAAGGGTGGCACTAGAAGCTTTCTTTGGGCCCCTGGTGGCTTATTTAGCAGTTACAAGCACTATAAACAATGGAATAATATAACCGGCCACCCTGGTTTGTAAACAATGATGGCAGTGCTGGATGGACAGGTTTGGGGCAAGTCATGTTGGTGAGAAACAGCTGACGGTGGTGCAGCAGCACCCTGACTGTGGTACAGCGGGCAGCTGACCGTGGTTTGCAGCAGCAGCTGACTGTGGGGCAGCAGCAGCTGACTGTGGTGCAGCAGCAGCTGACCGTGGTGCAGCAGCAGCTGACTGTGGTGCAGCAGCAGCTGACTGTGGTGCAGCAGCAGCTGACTGTGGTTGCAGCAGCAGCTGACCATGGTGCAGGAGCAGCTCACCGTGGTTCAGCAACAGCCTGACTGTGGTGCAGCAGCAGTTCACCATGGTGCAGCAGCAGCTGACTGTGGTGCAGCAGCAGCTGACAGGGTTCAGCAACAGCTGACTGTGGTGCAGCAGCAGTTGACCATGGTGCAGCAACAGCTGATGGTGGTGCAGCAACAGCTGAGGGTGGTGCAGCAACAGCTGACTGGTGCAGCAGCAGCTGACCAGGTGCAGCAAACTGGTGCGGCAACAGCTGACCATGGTGCAGCAACACCTGACTGCGGTACGATAGTATTTCTCCCCCTTTTTTTTTTACCACAGGCTGGCACTAAAGCTTTCTTTGGGCCCATGATGGCTTATTTAGCAGTTTTCAAGCACTAAAAAACAATGGAATAATACAAAATGTAATCGAATGTATGCATGCAACCGGCCACCATGGCTTGTAAACAATGACGGTAAGGCAGCTGAGCACTCAGCTGGACAGACAGTTAGGGAGGAATCATGTTGGGGGAGTTTTTTAAACGTTAAGCGGGCCAAAATTTTTACACTCAAACGCTTCGTTAGGGAGAATTAACGTTATGTGATGCGTTCGTTAGGCGAGGGTCCACTGTACAGTACAGTAACCTCCGGTTTTTCGTTCTTAATCTGTTTTCCCGGAGGTCGGGGCCAAAATTGAAATGGACGAAAAACCGAAGTAATATTCCCACAAGAAATAATGTAAATCCAATTAATTCCGTTTAGACACCCAAAAAAATTAACAAGAAAAAATTTATAGAGAATAACTATAGTGGGTGCAGCACTTCAGTGGTTAGCTCTTCCCTGTGTTATTCACCAACTCTTCCACATCCTGGCCACTCACATCCAACCCATGGGGCTTCCCCAAAAGCCAAAATAGATTCCACAAAAAAAAATGTAAGGTTTCAAGTTTTTCACTAACTACATTAGTTAGTAATAGAACTAGGCATTAGAAAACAATAAAAAGTAAAATACATACACAGTACAGCCCCCTCAACATTCACGTTTTTCAATTTTCCCCCGGCTTCACCTTTCGTAATTCCCAACCGCCAAAATCCAGCCCCCAAAATTCCCAGCCCCCAAATCAATTTAATTTTTCCCGCCACCTCAGTCCCCCTACCCTCCCCCCACCCCCACAACTGGCACCACCCTCCCCCCACTCAGTGTGGTGATGTTTTGTTTATTTTTTTTTGCTATTAAACTACGTATAAAAAATGAAAACCCCATTTTGACTGCATTTTGGGAATGGCATTGGACAGGTTTCAACAGTGAACTGTGTTTCCCTTGAACACGCAAAGAATCGAACTTTCTGTTACAGCTAATAATAATAATAGTAGTAGTATTTTAGTGGGAAGTAGTAGTATATTTTAGTAGTAGTGTAGTAATAGTAGTAGTGATATTAGTAGTAGTAGTATAGAGTATATTTAGTGAAATTAGTAGAAATTTTATTAATTAGTAGAAAATTTATAGAAATTTTATGTACGTAATTAGTAGAAATTGTATAATTAGAGTGATTATTGTATTATAAAATTTAGAAATTAATTAATTAGTAGTAATTAGTAGAAAATTAATAAAAAATAATAATTAATAAAATTAATAATAATAATAATTAAAAATTTAATAATTTTAATAATAATTAATAATAATTAAAATAATAAAAATTTAAATAATAATTAATAAAAATTAAATAATTTAAAAATTAATAATTAAAATTTTTAATAAATTTAATAAAATAAAAATAATTAATAAAATTTAAAAATTTTAATAAAAA